TATATACCTATAAATATTTATATTTATACATATTCATGCATGAAAAATTTTTATCGGGAATTCTGAAAAATTACGAAAAACTTTAAAAAAAATTTTCAGCAAGAATAACACGTTATATTGTTGAGCGGGAAATTATAACTAACGGTTATATTATTATTAGTCGATATTTGCTAAATATTTACTAATTTTTAATATTTATCGAAAATTGAAAGAAGTAAAATCGATATTTTTTATAAAAAAATTTTCTGTTGATTTGAAATAATCTATTGCAAACCACGATAAATTTTGCAGAGCACATGAGCATTTGCATAGAGTATGTCGACGCATCTTCCCAAGCGGCGCAAGATGTTCGTGAAATGGGTGTGCAAACGGAAGAGTATAAGGAAAACGATGACAAACAGTCTAATGTCGATTCGCCTTCCAGTCGATATTACGAGACTACCGAAAGTGTATCTACGTCTGAAAGTGAATTAGGGATGAACTCGGATCCTGAGATCTGCGAGAAGAACCATAAGGGAGTGATTATTCAAAAGGATTCAGAAATTATTGTTCTGAAAAACGAGCTTGGTGTATGAAATGATACATTTGATTTTCAAAATATCGTCATCAAAATAGTCTTTTTTTTAAAATTTTGTATAGTTTTTAGACTTTCTAAATTTTAAAATATTTCAAAAAATAATTTCATAATTTTTTTAAGAAAATTTCTTAGATATTTTTGTAAGAATATTTCTAAAAAGTGCTGCAAAAGTTTATTTTCTAAAATCTATTTTTTTAAAATTCCTTGGAAAAATATTCTTATAATATCTTATAATAATTTTAAGAATTTGTTATATTTTAAATTTATGAAGATTTCTAAAAAATATCTAAAATATCTAAAAAATATCTTAAATTTCCTCAGATTCTAAATTTCTTTTTTCGGAAATTATGGAATAAGAGAGACATATTAGAATATTTCGAACCATGTATATAAAAAAATTTAGAACAAATAAATTTTTTTCAATATTTCTGAAAACCATTCTAATTTATATTTTCAAAATCTGAATAATTTTCTAAAAACTTATAAAATTATACACAGAAATTCTAAAAAATTAAAAAATTTATAGAAAAACTTTGAAAAATTACATTATAAAAATTCTTAGAAAAAATTTTTGCAATTTTACATAAATAAATTCTGAAATATTCTAAGATTCTTTCTTTTTAAAACTTCTTATTCTATGATTTTTGAGAAAAACTTATAAAATCTAAAAAAGTTTAACTCATTTTTAAAGAAATCTTTATAAATTTAATATATGAATTAATATACGAATTCTAATAATTATGAAATAATATGAAAAATTTATTTACAAGAGCTTTATATATGATTATAATGAATCTGTGAATTTTATTATATGTTCGCTTTTCAGATGAAGGAGGATGAGCTGGAAGAGCTGCGGGAGCTGAATAAGCATATGCAAACGCTGTTAAGAGAGAAGGATGAAAATACAAGCATTCTGAGACGTAACATTAATGTAAATCGCAGTATTTACTCCCGACTAGTTCAATTAAAAGTTTGTGTAATTATTTGAATCTCGCGTCTCTAGACCCTGCAAGAAAAGTTGAAAGTAGTGAGCAACAGGCGCGACGACGAGGTAGAAGATTTAAATGCAAAAGTAATAGTATTGAATAATTTTATACAATTTTATACATTTGTTTGTCCTAAAATTTGTGGATACTATCGTATTGTTTTTCTTACAGCTTTCTTCCTTCGAGTGTCTGGTGGATCAGTTGAAAGCGGAGTTAGCTAGAAAATGTCAAGTTTGTTATTTCCAGACGCAGGAAATCCAGAAACTTAGAAAAGAAGTTAAGGAGATAGAATTACTTTCCATGGAAAACGAGTCGCTTACGGTTCGTACATACAAAATGTAGTAAACGCTGTGCAATATATCTAATTCCTTAGAGCAATGATGCA